TAAGTGCAAATTTATTCGCAATATGACCGATATGAGTAGAACAAAGAAAGAATATAATTATTTATTATACTATCTTAAATCTTCTTCCTTTATACGAGACTAATGTTGTTGCGATCTGAACGCCTCAAAGTAAAAGGCCATTTAATTAAACAGAAGATAATATTTTTGTGAATTTATTCGCAATATGATCGATTTTATATGAGTAGAACAAAGAAAGATTATAATTATTTATTATACTATCTTAAATCTTCTTCCTTTATACGAGACTAATGTTGTTGCGATCTGAACGCCTCAAAGTAAAAGGCCATTTAATTAAACAGAAGATAATATTTTTGTGAATTTATTCGCAATATGATCGATTTTATATAAGTAGAACAAAGAAAGATTATAATTATTTATTATACTATCTTAAATCTTCTTCCTTTATACGAGACTAATGTTGTTGCGATCTGAACGCCTCAAAGTAAAAGGCCATTTAATTAAACAGAAGATAATATTTTTGTGAATTTATTCGCAATATTATCGATTTTATATGAGTAGAACAAAGAAAGAATATAATTATTTATTATACTATCTTAAATCTTCTTCCTTTATACGAGACTAATGTTGTTGCGATCTGAACGCCTCAAAGTAAAAGGCCATTTAATTAAACAGAAGATAATATTTTTGTGAATTTATTCGCAATATGATCGATTTTATATGAGTAGAACAAAGAAAGAATATAATTATTTATTATACTATCTTAAATCTTCTTCCTTTATACGAGACTAATGTTGTTGCGATCTGAACGGCTCAAAGTAAAAGGCCATTTAATTAAACAGAAGATAATATTTTTGTGAATTTATTCGCAATATGATCGATTTTATATGAGTAGAACAAAGAAAGAATATAATTATTTATTATACTATCTTAAATCTTCTTCCTTTATACGAGACTAATGTTGTTGCGATCTGAACGCTTCAAAGTAAAAGGCCATTTAATTAAACAGAAGATAATATTTTTGTGAATTTATTCGCAATATTATCGATTTTATATGAGTAGAACAAAGAAAGATTATAATTATTTATTAAACTATCTTAAATCTTCTTCCTTTATACGAGACTAATGTTGTTGCGATCTGAACGCCTCAAAGTAAAAGGCCATTTAATTAAACAGAAGATAATATTTTTGTGAATTTATTCGCAATATGATCGATTTTATATGAGTAGAACAAAGAAAGATTATAATTATTTATTATACTATCTTAAATCTTCTTCCTTTATACGAGACTAATGTTGTTGCGATCTGAACGCCTCAAAGTAAAAGGCCATTTAATTAAACAGAAGATAATATTTTTGTGAATCACAAAACTAACAAAATTAACACACTCGATTCTTCTTTACAGGTTTTTTTCAAACAACACCACTCTGGCCTTGGTCCTTCGCGGAATGCAGCCACGTCCCCGTTCTGTAAGTACACCAGCCACTTTACTTTCTACTTTTATATTAGATCGTTGTCGAGCGGTTTATTTCCCGGGAAAAAGAAATACCTCTCGACAGGCAAACGAAGGACGCGGACGTGTTAAAGAAGCGAAAATTTCCGAGCGCAATAAAAGCTCGCGAAAAACGCGTAAAAAAAAAGAAAGAAGAAGAGAAAAGCGATAAAGTTTCGGCGGCCATTGTTAAAAGACAAATGGACATCGTTTGCATAACGCGATGGATTTTATTAATTCCGGTTCACACCACGATTCGCCATTTCGCGTTATCGACATTTTGTTTTTCTGATGGCCTTTTACTTGTATGTTTTCGTTACACAAAGATATACGTGTGAAAAATTTGGTGGTTTTTGGATGAATCTTCTGTTTCTCTGCATTAGATTCTGGCCTCTTACTTAACGAATCAATCTGTTAAAAATGTGGCCTCTTACTTAACGAATATCCCATCAGCCTCAACTCCAATTACCTATCAAAAATAAATGAACTTCTGTTTCTTTAAATTTTATTATATTCTTGTCTCTTACTGAACGAACATCGAGCCATAGTTATCAAAAATGAATGCACTTGGGCTTCACTGAAGTAAATTATGGCCTCTTACTGAACGAACATCGAGTCGATGTATCAAAAATGAGTGCACTTCTGTTTCTCCAGAGTAAATTATGGCCTCTTACTTAACGAACATCGAGCACTTTGGTACTTAATATAACACGGTTGAAGGCTGTCTGAATTAAGTAGAAGAACGTTTGGATAAGTTTGTATAATATACAGGGTGAGTCACGTTCAATGGGAGAGAGTATTAAAAATGTTAAATTGGAAAAAATTTAATGGGACACTCTGTATCTCATTGCATTTTTGAAATATGCGTAAAATTTTTGTATTACGAAAATGTATACTTTTTGAGTTATTAATTTTTTTATAAGAAAATTTCGACCCTAATAAATTATTTTTTACGAGCACCCCCTTAAAGATTTGGAAAGGATTTTTATAGGGTGGTTATAAGCAAGGTTAAAGGTATTTAAATTTATATTGAAAAACTCTTAATTTTATACAGGGTGTGTACAAAAACTAGGCAAAATCGAACTCCCAAAAAATCTAATTTCTTCATCTTTTTAAATAGAACCACCCTGTTTTTTCCATTTTATTGTCCCCTCCATGACTCACCCTGTATACATATGACATATTATATAACAAACCGCAATGGAGATGTCATTTAAAAAGTCGAAGCGAGATTAGAAAAGAAAACCGCTTTTCCGGTTATCCCGCTTTGTCTTCTCTTCTCCTTCACCCCTCGTAACAAATAGGGGGTAATATATCACCGAGAAAATTACATTTTTTTTATTGAGCTCAGCGCAAAAAATCGGTTCAAATAGAGCTCCGGAGTTCTCTATTGTGCCTTCGGAACTAACAGAAGAAAACATTTCTCTCTTTCGTATATAAGACGTGTAAAACTCGGCATATATGAAGGTCTTTTATTATAATTTTTCACCGCAAAAGAAAACCAAACTCGCGTTTAAGATAATCCCCCATTATCCTCCTATTCTATACGAGGATTATTTGCGGCGTGGAGTTTTATCAGAACTCCCGGGGATTAGATTAAATTATTTCAGAATTGAGAGATTACATACAGAAATACAGCGTGATCCATTTAAAAAAAAAATTAGTACACCCTGTATAAGAGTATACAGTGTGGGTCACGAAGAGGGCCCATTAGAAGTATCTGGAAAAGTGGTGGTAATTAAAATTTGAAAATTTGTGTACAACTATTAGTCGATGCGCTCTATTCGATGAAAATATTTTAAACTTTTTTTTACTTCCGGTTATACCGGAAGTGGACAGCAACTTTGTTATTTTAAATGGGACACCCCATATATTAATATATTTTCGAAATGTTCGCAAAATTTTAGAGTGCTTTTGTCTAAAAAACTTTTTTCAAAAATGCATACTTTTTGAGTTACTAATTTTTTTTTGGAAAATTTGACCGATGCAGACCCTTATAAATTATTTTTTTTTTCGGGGATCCCTTTAAAGATATTGATACGGTTTCTGTAGGGTGGCTACAAGCAAGGTCAAAGGTATTTGAATCTGTGTTAAAAAACTTTATATTTTATACAGGGTGTGTACAAAAATTGTACAAAGTTGAACATCAAAAATATAAAATTTTTTCATTTTTTTCAATGGAACCACCAATTATTTTTCAATTTTAATGAAATCAGCGGTCAAGAATAAGGGAAGTTCATGTTTACTTCCCTATACCTAAACCCAATAATTTTGATATTAAGATATTAAAAATTTTACTTAAAACTTACTTTTCTGCCTTATTCTTAAATAACTCTGTTTTACAAGTTGGCCATGTAATATCTCACAAGTACCAACATTAATAATCAATTAATTACAAACAATTTACATGGCCAACTTGTAAAACAGAGTTATTTAAGAATAAGGCAGAAAAGTAAGATTTATGTAAAATATTCAATATCTTCAAAACTATTAGGTTTAGGTATAGGGAAGTTAGCATGAACTTTCCTTATTTTTTATCGCTGATTTCAATAAAATAGAAAAAAATGGGTGGTTCCATTTAAAATAATGAAATAATTTGGTATTTTTGAAGTTAAATTTTCACATGTTTTGTATACACCCTGTATAAAACAAAAAATGTTTTAACACAGATTCAAATACCTTTGACCTTGCTAATGGCCACCCTACAGACACCGCATCCATATCTTTAAAGGGATCCCCGTAAAAAAATAATTTATAAGGGTCTGCATCGGTAAAATTTTTCAAAAAAAAATTAGTAACTCAAAAAGTATGCATTTTTGAAAAAAGTTTTTTAGACAAAAGCACTCTAAAATTTTGCGAACATTTCGAAAATATATTAATATATGGGGTGTCCCATTTAAAATAACAAAGTTGCTGTCCACTTCCGGTATAACCGGAAGTAAAAAAAAGTTGAAAATATTTTCATCGAATAGAGCGCATCGACTAATAGTTGTACACAAATTTTCAAATTTTAATTACCACTACTTTTCCAGATACTTCTAATGGGCCCTCGTCGTGACACACACTGTATATTTCTATTTTAGTATACATCGCTAAAGTAAATCGAATTTCGCGCATTATTTATGTCGAAATAAATCCGATTAAACATGAAACAACCCCCGTACATTCGTAACATCCAGAAATAATCCCCTTTTCGCTACATTCCCCATTATATTTCCCGTTTGTTTATGCGCATCATCCACCCCGAAAACGGCCATTAGTTATTCCGATTTCCATTGCATCTTCATCTTCCGTATATTTTTCCTGGCAGTTTTATTATTACGGCATTATTCAACGAAAATATATTAGTAGGCGAATTTTTCCCGGAAACGGCGGAAATCCGCCGGAGAAGCGGCAACGCCGCAACCCCGTTAAACGAGTACAGTACACATCCCCGACCAATCATTCGTAAAAAACAAAAATTAGCACAAGGAAATTGTCAAAAATAATATTTCTTTCTTACTTCACTAATTTCTATTAGACTGTGACCTTATTGTTGGTACCCTAAAATTTTCTAAACAGTTTCATCTGCTTTTGGTACAGTATTAAAAGCGTCTGGTACTTACCTATAGCCGTCGCGACGCCCCAGAACCTCGTCACCGGCACCAAACCCTCGAAGAATCTGTCAAACAAGCGCCATTTCGCGCCATCTTGATTCTCCCGGGGATTCCCCGACTCCCCGCCGGTCGATCTAGCACTCACGCCGGGTGTCAAACTCGGAAACATGTCCATAATTCTATATTATCACTTATTTAACACACTTCATAATTTTAAAAGTAGTCGAATCTAAGGATTTTTTGCTGGACGTGGCAACGCCGCTCCGTATGAATTGTAGCTAATAAAGGAGATTTGTGCTTTATTACTGGCTATAGAGGGTTGATTAAAGCCGCTATAAAACGAAACCGCCGTACAAATTGCGATTTATACAGGGTGATTTTCTGTGCTTATACGGGGGATGTTAGAAATGTAATAATAAACGAGCGAAGCTTTGTGTGGGGAAAACAATAAAAATCGAATCATCCTCGGGGGGGTTTAGTTCTCTAACGAAATCAATTAGTTCCGAGAGAGGGCGCGTTTAAAATTTAATATTTCGATATCGGTAAATCCCCGAGTATCGGGGCGGATTTAAACGGGGAACTCGACTCAATTAGAGTCGAAGAGATATACGTTTTGGCTCTTCAAAAAAAATGGCTCCGGCATAAAGCGATTTCCCTTCGAAATATATAATATTATCTATATCATTTCTACCCCGTTTTATTCGTTACATATACGAGGGAATCGAATTATAGATATATCGAATTTTATTATACCTACCTACCATCGATCTGCAAGAGGGTAGAAGATTTTCTCTAAAGGTTTTTTGAATTAAATTTAGAAAGTAAAGAATAGAGTAAGAGAAAAAATGAGTAGAGAGTTAGACAATATAGAATTGAGAATAGAGAGTAGTGAGAATTAAATTTAGACTATCAGTTCGTTTAATTAACTTTAAGTTAATTAAATATGAAAGTTTATTAAATATGACGTCATCACCAGGTTAATGTAAACGTACTGTACTTATTTGTGTGTTATACAGGGTGTCCCAATGAAAAGTAGCTCCTTTAATTGCAATTTTTTAAACGCCTAATCTTAAAAACATGCGGTTTTCTCAAATATGTTTTATTTTATTATAAGTTTTGTTAAAGTGATACAGAAATTATGCATTTACTAATACAGGGTGTTTTTTTATTTTAATTTTTTTTTATTTTAATTTTAATTTTTTTTTTTATTTTTTATTAATTTTTTTATATGAAACACCCCGTATATAGAGAGGTATTTTAAAAGATATACTCTTCTACTATTCAAAAATATATTATTTACAAAAGAATAACAGAGAATAACATTTACTTTTGTACATGTTATTCTACAAAAGAAGATGTCCTATTTCATAAAATTTGGTTAATGTCAATTTAAAAGAAGGGATTTTTATGAAACACCCTGTATAGGCGATGCAAAAATTTTTGTGTCACTGTAATAAAAACTTACAGCAAAATAAAATACATCTGCGAAAACCGTTTTTATGAATAGTGGTTTAGTAATTATTAGCTCACTAAAGGGGCTACTTTTCATTGGGACACTCTGTATATATTTTCGCCTTTCTTCCTCGTATAAATATGGCGACTTTTTCGTATTATTTGTCCGTGTAAATGCGCCTCTCTCGGCGGTTTATAATTCATCTACGGGACAATGCGAGTTCCAGATTTATGCGACAGTTATATGGAAAATGCATCGAAAACTGGAAATTATATGCACTTTCCGGCGGTAAATTTCGTCTAAAATACTCATCGTCAATCTCACCATCGAATTTGTGCATATATAGTACGTTCGCGATAAAGCCGTCGTGACGTCACGCGATGTAATCGCGACGTTGCCGCGTTTCGGAACGTTTTCTTTAACTCTAAAGAATTTCGCAATTGTGCAAAATATATTACTAAATAGAGAGTGATTCTAAATACAGGATGTTCTATTATATGTTAGTTAATTAGTGTATAAATTTTCTCTAATTAGTAAATGGCGTTTTGCGAGCATTACACTTATTAACGTGTAAATATAAAATGAATTTTATCGTATATGATATATGGAAATATTATGTGTATCGATTTGCATCAATGAAATTTTAATTAAACGTCGCGACGCCGACGGGCGTCCCGCGTCAGGATTTGTATATGCATATATGACGAATAATGTTTTTAATTAATTAGAGGGAAATTTAGTGAAATTGTTATATACGTGTGGGATTAAAATCGTTTCGAATTTTCGCTATTTTGCTTCGATTTTGTTAATTTTAATCCGCGTTATTTCGAATATCGTTAAAACGATAAACAATTTGGCTTATTCACGCCGAAATAAATCACTTTTTGTAATTTTCGAGTACACCCTGTATACCACTAAATAATAATTTTTTTCAACACCCTATATGTAATCAATTACAGCTAATCAAACCGAAAAAAACTCCACTTTTTTATCCACCCTACATCACACAATTTTACACCGGTACAAAGTGTGGAAAATCACGAAATTTTCACGGAAAACTGCGACATTTTCGCGATGTTTTCCCTCCCACCGATCGCGCCGGATGCGGTCGAACCACTCCCGGGAAAATTCGTCGGCGGACTGACGACGGGAAAAGCGATCGCAGATGGCTCGATTGGCGGATTTTCCGGGGTTTTCTCGACCGGCGCCCGGTCCGGTTTTTCCCGCTTTAAAACCGCTTTTACAGCTGGAAATTTTTTTATGGACGTTTTCGGGTTATTTTTAAACCGGAAAGGACAATGGAAAGTTATTTTTAATTCTTCTTTCTTAACGAAATCTCGAGGTATTCGGTTATTTGGTTAATTTTATTCGTATAAAATGACAAAACAGGAATAGCACTTTTTCTATTTATAATATTTATAATAGAATATTTATTTCATACATGATAAAATGTTTCATACATTTCCACCTTTATTTCTCTTTGATTAATTCGCTTACTTCCTAGGCAGGAATCCTGCGAGGACAATTCGAAAACTTGTATTTATCGAATGTAGATGGCGCTGTATGCTTGTAATTTCGAGGCCGATTTACTGGATGAATTCTACTCTTTTTTTTATAGATAGATACGTGTAAAATTTCTCGCACGTGTTCGGATTTCCTGGATTTATTTCCTTTTCCCGAATTCTATTTCCGGATTTTTCCGGATATTTCGCTGTCGATCGAAGAAAAGAAGCTAGATGGTCGTTTTTTAAATGTCGTTTGTCTACCTATTGGATATAGATTGTTTTTCGAAATTGATAAGATTATTCTGGTAAAAAATTTGTTTCTTTTTTTGAAAAAAATAGTCGCTAAAAAAGTTTCGTTATTTTGGGCGTCAATTTTGGTATCTACTAAAGAAATATAGCAAGAATTGTTCGGGAATTGGTAAATGCCATTTTGACTTATGTCAAATGTGACAAAACTGTCACAAACTCATTTTAGGATTTTTTTAAAATTTGCACTTAATTAATCACTAAATCACCAAGAATTGTAGCCGTTCAATTTTGAAATGTGCGTTAAAATAGATTTAAAAATGCATGCCACTTTGACATCTGTTAAATATGTCAAAACTGTCCAACTCGTTTTAGGGTTTTTTTTTTAATTTCACTAAATTAATCCACCAAAAATTGTAGCCCTTCATAGACCTATTAAGTATGGACGCGGCACAATCGGTATTTTGAGGTTATTCAGCGTTCCCAATGATAGAGAGAGAGGTCCGTGAGAGATGGAGTTAGTTTGGGCTAAAAGTAGGCGGGACCAAAAAAATATAAAATATATACAGGGTGCGTGAAAAAAAGGCTATTAATCTGTTAAATTATTTATACGCTTAATATTTAAATATTGTTTTTATCTTGGTATCCACTTGGACAGAAGAATGACCTGGAAGAAGCATATTTTTTACAAGAGAAAGCAGTTAGGTCTTAAAATGCGAAATCTGTAATGGCTAATAGGTAGGATGTTCCAATTAACAATACAAAATAAGAACTATATTTGCAAATGCGTGGGAATTTAGGCCCAGCTGAAAAATGCATTTTGCTCGGCAAAAAAATAATAAATCACAATATCCTCCGCTGCACTCCTCAACCCTATTCTACCATAAGCTGCCCTCCTCTACCCCAGCTACCTTGCATATCTGAAAACGTTACTCACGTGGTCTTTTGCTTTCTTACTATTGGCTAATGCATTGTCCAATCTCTCATTGCCATATGCCCAAACTAGCTGCATCTCTCTCATTCATCGACAACACTACCTCTTTGTCTAAACCGCGTCCATAGTTAATAGGTCTATGTAGCCCTTCAATTTTAAAGTGTTCGTTGAGAATAGATTAAAAAATGCCACTTTGACATCTGTCATAACTGTCAAACTCGTTTTAGGATTTTTTTAAATTTCACTAAATTAATCCACCCCAAATTGTAGCCATTCAATTTTAAAGTGTGCATTGAGAACAAATTAAAAAATGCCACTTTGACATCTGTCAAAACTGTCAAACTTGTTTTAGAGTTTTTTAAAATTTCACTAAATGAATCCACCAAAAATTGTAGCCATTCAATTTTAAAGTGTGCGTTGAGAATATATTAAAAAACACCACTTTGACATCCGCCAAATAAGTCAAAACTGTCAAAGTAATTTTTCCCAAACTCCCAAATTCCATCAAAATATCAGAAACATTTGCATAGAACACAAATGAATGTATATTGCACTACGCCCTTGGCGAACGAACGAGAGAACCAACCGGGCGTGAAAGAATAATAAGAAGAAGAAGAAAAAGAAGAGAATGTTTGAAGGAATCCCCGGAACGCGAAATACCGCCGGCTTGTTTTTCGGCGTGTTATTTGTCTCCCGAACACTTTGTATATCATACGGGACGCGTACGCGGCATACCGAGATGAGATTAAACAAAATAAAAAAAAAACCGGATGATTTTTCCCATTTTACACGAAACGTTGTACACTCTTAGAAGATATGCGCGTTTGTGCAGTGTGTGTGTGACTTACTGGAATTTCTATATCGCGGCGGAAGTTATTCGGGGTATATGAGAAGATGAAGTACCACACGGTCGGATGACCGTGAAAATTAAAAATTCCTATGGAAATTGTCTATTTTCTTCTTCTTTTTTTTATAGCTACTCGCGACTAAATGCGATATTTGATATTTATTATGCGGGGGGGAAACTATGCATCGTAGAGGATTATGGTAAAA